CCATCGAGTACCAGTCGGTCGAGCGGGCTTCAACTTAGATTACGCAGTATCGAAAAAACCATCCATCTCTCTTCATTACTTTGAAATTACGGTAGGAACTTCGAGGAGGGTTTTGTGCCATCAATAGCAATATTTTGCCCCAGAATGATATTCAACAAGCTGAAAACTTCATCAATAGGCTAAACTGAGTCGCTAATTGTGAACATTAAATTCGCACTTTATCGTAAATGTGCTTTCATAGGTTATGCCAGGGTAATCGCAACAACGCTTGTTCAGCGTTCTTTAAAGAGGTGATTACATCATCGTAAAAAGTTGTCTAATGAAATCAGCGTGTCCGAAAACACTGATACACGGCTCTCCAAAATTTTTGGAACGTTTTTTTCGAAATGCTTATTTCACAAGGGCGCTGTATGCTGGAAGTTTCTACCGTAATCTTACAGTATTGAAGAGAGATGGATGGTTCAGTCGATACTGCAGATCTAGATTGAAGCCTGCTTTACCGAATGGTACTTGAAGCTAAGCAAAAGACTTTGTTGGAAGAGAGTTATCAACGATTAAAAAGTGAGTACTTATTACTTTTGGGACATCCTGTAGACCCCTTTTTCAGCAACAACCGCATTTTCGATTTATTGATATCATACGTTTTGCATGGAGTATACAATTTTTGTTGTAGTAGTGTAATTAGTAGTAGTGTGGTGTAGTGTAGCAGTAGTGTAAAACACCTTGAAAGAACTAAACATATTTTGTCATTCTCTGAAGACAAGTTCGGACTCGACGTAATCAGCGAAAGTCCTTCTATGGGAGCACACAGTCGAAGCACGCACTTGTTTTGTAAAAAAAGTTGACAGCTAATAATAATCGAGATAATTTCGGATTTGATAATCATCAAACTGCTGACTGCTGTGGGAAGTTTGCTTCTAATTCGTTGACAGAACCGCCTTGGGCTCGTTTATGATGAAGTAGCCGATATGATAGTTCCCATGACCATTCGACTTTTTTAGTCCCGAAGAAGGTGATTCAGTCGCTTTTGATCAGATGAAGAAGTTTACATTCTTAGTGAAATTCGAAGAGAAAGCCGTCAAAGATACATTATAAGACTATTTGAACTGTTCGGATGGCTTTCAAAATCTGTTTCCCATAATAATGTAGATATCCTGGTTGATACTGGAGTACTTCCGCTTGCAAGACAAAATTCAATGAATCAATGAAGTGTAAACTATTTTCGGTGTTTATTAAAAAAAAAGGAGAGACTTGATCTCTTGACCTTGAAGGAATTTCACCTTCTGCTTCAGCCTAGCGCATTGGCAGTGCCAAGTTTAATTGTTTTGGTAGAATGATGTTCGTAGCTGGCTATAGAATATCACAAAGATGCTCCCAGGCAGATGGAGACGCCAGAAAGCATAAACGATAATGTCTTCTAGTGTTCTTCGTTCATAATTGCTTCCTCTGTTCTAGGAGGCATATTTTTAACCTTCCAAATACATTTGGACTGGAAGACTCAGTGACAAAACTCTTTCACGATACCTTCTGCGGATTACAAGTCAAAGCATGTAACGAAAAAATACCTGTGAATGGGAACTTGATCATCACATGCAAATAGTAAGGCTGTATCTTATATAGTTAGCGAAAAGTCCGATAAGTAAGTCATAAATAAAGAATCAAACACACCTTGAAGTGGTATGGAGTGATTTCGACAAAATACGAACATCAACAACAAGCATTTAGTATTCACCTAGGATTTTGTTGCTCAATTGATCGCTTCTAAAAGCTGATTTCTTACATGGTCGATCTGTTGTGAGATGCGCCCCGGCCCCGGCACGAGGTGGGCAAATGTCAAGCTGGAAATTTTTCTGAGTGGAAAGCAAAGAGAATATCGTAGATATATTCACATGTAAATACATACACTATCTCGACAAGTTGCTATACGACTGACAAGCAAAAATACGATATTGCTCGCGCGTCATCTTCAAAAAACCCAATTTTATCGAGTTGTAATTGAATGTTTCGATTACAGCTCCACATAACGTTATGACTAAGATATATAAACGGACATGGACTAGGAGGAGCATAGTGCGGAGTATTATGGAAAAATTATGTGAGTGGGGGTTGTGTCAAACTTTTTTTTGAAAATTTTTTACTACCACAAAGGATAAAATGGCTCGTTTGCAACGCACAGATGGCGATATGGCACTTAATTTGGTGTGTCTCGCGGTGGAACTAAGAAACAAAGTATGAAAAATCATGAAAAACTTGCGTAAATAAAGAGCGTGCTCAACATTATTCCGAAATAGGTGTGCAATTGCCCATAATAGCCACCTGAGGTGGGCAAAACTTTCATTTCACAGAAGTTTTTCGAAATTTTCACATAAGCCTCTTCTACACCTAAAGTTTGGTATATAGTAACATTTTGGTTCCAAAACCCCCCTCTCGTCTTTGTTAGGATCCGGAACAGCAACGACGCCCGCCCTTTTGAGAAAGAAAGCGCGCTCAAATCGAACAGCCTGCGCAGCCGGTGGGAATCAAGAGGGAAATCGTAAAATTCGGTGGTGCTAAAGGCAAATACGTTTTACCGATGTCCGTTTGCCATCCTCGTGCTGTTCCTTAGATGCGCCTGGTGGCGTTCGAGTATCTTTCATCATTAAAGCTCAAAAATTAACCAATTTAGTCACGAGCCATTATGGGAATTCTCGTCCTTTGCACACTATCTTCGTCAGTATGGCCTACGACCTACCACAAACTTACGCAGAGCAGCATAACCGCCGCGGTCGACCGGACGGCGGCATTTTGCGTTTCTGAGTTTCAACTTACAGAGCGAGAGAGTTGGTTCGATTCAACTGAGCTTACGGGGAGTTTACTATGAACTTACAGTATGTTCGTTACTCTAAATAGAAATTTTCTACCTCTAAACCGCTCCAGATAAAACATACACATATATACACATCGCGGCGGTACGGAAGTCATAGGCTACTTTTCGTCAGAGATCGATGCTGTCTTGTTTATTTGCAGCAAACTATGAGCTATGAGGCTGAGGTTTGGTAAAGGGAGTTCATGGATTACGAAAACAAAGTTACTTTCAGGATGACTAAAATAGTCATCAATGTAAAAATGACTTCCAGGTATTTGTAGCATCCGCAGTGACCACACTCGTCATAAGAATCCTGTGTTCGCAAAGATACATCATATAAAGGCCAATTTACGAGATCAAAGGAAAGCAGCGGATCAGAAAAACCGATGCAAGTCATATCATGACATTTCGTAATGATTAGTCATGAATGTACTTTTGCAGAGTTCGCTGTGTAATATTTTCCAAGGTATTTTCTTTTCTTTCCAATGCTGCACATGAATTTCCCTCATCACAGATCCATTATCCTGCGAATGTGTTGCAGTTCTGCTCCGTTTTATTTAAAGCATCGCGTGCCGTTGTAGGGATCCACCCATAGCAAAAATATGCTTTTTCAAACCTATCTTCCGTATTGCTAACTTGAGTTTCTAGTAAATGTAGCTGTTTCTGCATGTCGCTACACTTAAAACCACTTCAATCTGTTCTACTAAATCGAACGCCAAAGCAGGTTGCAAAGGCTCATAACTCCTCTCCGGTTTTCGTTCGGCCGAGTATTTAGATTTATCGGTAAATAGATACAACGTCCTAGCGGTGCCGGAATTTTTCAGTAACATTTTCGGGTGAACAGATACTCAAAGGAGGTGCCGTCCACGTTAGGGCAGTGTCCAGGCAAAAAGTCGATTTGAGAATTTGTGATCACATGGGCCTATTCGCTATGCTGAATCCAAAAATCCACACTGGAGAGCGCAACGGCAAAAAAAGGCTTTAACGCAAGAGGAAAATTGCAGTGGGCGGGGCTGTTCACATCATGACGTCACTCCCCCAGCTTCAGGAGCGATCTTTTAGGTTCCGAGTTTATGTCAAGCGTTTCGCACTTGGCTGGTGGCAGTGTTAGCGTTACTAGTGGAAGCAAGAAGATCACTACTGAAGCTGGCAGAGTGACGTCACAGTGTGAACGGCGCCGCCCACCTGCGATTTCCCTCCTCCGTTAGAGCCCTTTCTCGCCGTTTTTGCGCTCTCCGGCATGGGTTTTCGGGTTCAGCATAGCGAATAGATCCAGGTAATCAGAAACTCTCAAAATCGTCTTTGTGCCTGGATACTGCCTTTAAGCTAAGGGTCCTGAGCTTTTTTTAGCTTATGATAGCAGGACCCCCATCAAGCAATGCCCTATTCGCGGCGCAAAATGCGCTTCGAAAGCGGGAAAATCGCTTCGAAATAGCGAAGATGCATGAGGGTTCCAATTCGGCTCCACCCCTTTCAGTAATGCCCGCCCACTCGTGTGCGCTCATCCAGTCACCTCTGGAAGCCGGCCTGCGGGTTTTCCGGGGAGAGGATTGTCAAGGTTTTCGCGGATTCTTGATTTCATATTCGGAGAGAACATGAGAAGCCCCGAACGATCAAAACATGAAACTCGAGAATCTGAATGGACAGTGCCTTTAAACGCCTAAAATGCCAGCGTTTCGCGCGCGCATTTGGCCGGCATTACCGGCTTTTCTATTTGTTCACACGCAAATATCATCGCAATATCTAGGACCGCAAGGGAACTGTATTAGACGACAAATCTGCTCGAATGCATTGTCTTTGCTATCCGTTCGTACGTCTCATTGTCCACCTTTCCTTATTGACAGGGGCTCAATTGGAAGCTTGTTCCTTCTCAAAACCACAAGATCCGTGAACAGTCGCACAACGCCTTGAAGCTCAAAAAGCGAAAATTATACAGCCTTCTCATTTTTCTTTAGCACTGTTCATTATCATATGAATTCTATGCAGCGCCTCTTAGTTATTGAAAAATACATTATCATATACATAAGTGCAGAATATGACGGTGTCTATATACATTCTAGTTCCACAATAAGCGGCAGAATCTCTCGATTTAAGTGTGTAAAATGCTGGAATATGCTGTGAGTTTTTCCCTTCGAAATGTGAGTGCTCAAATACAATGCATGCTTTTCGGATCATACTTTTGACAGTTTTATTTCGCACTTCGGTTGCCAGCAAAGGATTGGATACCATACAGGTAAGGATTAAGTCTACCCTCTATGTACAAATGAATTCTACCGCCGATCGACCCAACTTACTTCTTGTTTTGAGCCATATAAAAATCAAAGCCATTCAACCTTTAACGAGAGATGATAATCAGTTTGCGCATCTGCATACTTTATCATCATATATTACATATCGCAGTAGAACCCTTTGCAATCTTAGATTAGAAAAGTACGACGAATGTTTTGGCAGTTTTTCTGCTTACATTGTGATGTCTTTGATGACAAAACATCTAATGTTGAAGACAACGTCCGGGCAAATTCCCGAAAGGAACTCTTTTCGCTTATCTAGGTTTATCCTACCCGCTGATTTCCAAAATGCAGAGAGCGCAAAAATGTCGAAAACGGCCTTTCCCAGAAACTTTTGATGTGAATATGGAAAACCCAGCCATTGCACTCTGAAATTCCGTGTCTGGACGCTGTTTGAAGGCATGTTCCACTCAGACTGGGGGTGGTGAGATTTTGATGCTGTATGATAGCGGAAGCCCCCAATTGAGTAATCACCCAAACCCCGCTGCGAGAGATGGATTCCGAAGCGAAAAAAAAAGACCGCTATAGAAGGCCCCCGCCCGCCGGCGCCGAGCCAGCGCCCAGCTGTCCCATTTGTTCGAGGCGGGGCTAGCTGACTCTGTGCGGGCAAGGGCTACCCATCTTCTGGCAGCTTCGATCAATAGTGGGCGCATTCACCTGCTGAGAACTAGTCAGCTAGCCCCGCCCCAACGAAATGCACGTGTATCGATCGAAATAGCGCCGGGGCAGCTTGGCGGTGGCTCGGCGCCGGCGCGGCGCTGGCGTGGCTTCCGCACTCTGGCGGGAGCCGAAGGTAGAGGCGGCCACGGCGGGTCCGCCCATCAAGTGGGTGGTGTGAACATAATCATAATGAAGCACAAAACTATGGCTATTCTAGATATATTCAAGCGCTTTTGGAATTGCTATCTTCAAACCACTCCGGTCAACCATCCAAGCTCTGATGGGCGGAGCCACCTTGCCCTTTCTACCTTTTGGAACGATTTTCTCGCTTCGAAATTCATCTTTTGCATATCGTGTCCTGGCCTTTGTTTTAGGAAGCAGAGAAATGCAGTCCCCAATTTGTGTAATCTGTCTTCGAAAATTGTAACCTTCTTGATCCGTAATATGAAAATACACACAAACTCTATGTTAATGCAAGTTACTTTCAGAATTTATCTGCAGACGATTTTCGCTGCTTAAAAAACAATGGATTTACATTCTACATAGGCAGAGTGTGGAAGAGTACAGGAAATTACGATACGAAGGGCATGCAGAGTATGAAGAATGCTCATAAAGGTTTCTAGATATCTTGCTTGTACTAATTCATTCTGATCCATACTGTCAACGCTAAAACACTAATATAATTTCAGCTGGTTTAAAAGTCAGCGCCTATATTTTTCCTTGTTTGGCTAAAAGATGTGCGCCTCCGCAAAATCAGGCATGTTAGAAACTCTTGGTTTTCCAAAATAACAATTCTATGTGCCTTCAAGCTACACTTGAATTATATAAGGTTGGACTGTGAACTCTGTCGAACTCTTTTCGAAGGAATCGTAACTTTTTCCTGTTACGATGACTAATTACCTTCTACTGACACTCTTAGGTTCGGTGGTTTTGAGCAGGTCCGTTAAAAATGTGAAAAAAAGGATTAGAATCCAAAATCGCCAGTATCATGAGTTTTCTGACTTTTCCTTCTAGCAAGGTAATGTTTGTGCTGATCGCGCTTTTCTTTGAAAAATTATGAATTTCGAGTGAAAATGCCAGAAAATCAATTTTCTCGTTTTCTGCTATTTTCTCGAAAATACGTTTCCATAGAAAAGCTCAGTCAGCACTTGCTCACTCAAAAAGGAAAAGAAAATTTAATGACACTGACTGCTTCCAATTTTAATGTATGAATTTTTTTTTTGACGGATTTGCTTACAATCACCAAAATTCAAGGGATATTCTTTTTCATTTCTATCCCTGCAAACAAATCCTACACTAAAAGAGATCAAACAAGGTGTCATTGAAAAGTAAATAATCCGCTTTTTTCAGTAACATTAATGCCATGACTATCGTGATAGGAAGAAGTACGATTTTTCAAAAATGGTGCGATACAACTCACGATTTAACATAATACATTTATTTTTACACCTTTCATTTAGAGTAGAGAAGCTAAAATTTGCAGGTTGAGGCTACCATAAATCGTTTGAGATCAGAAGGTGTTCCATATGATATGGTGTTTCTGGATATAGAGAAATTTCGCTGGCCAAATAACCAGGCAGCCAACCGAAAAACCATCAGTGCTATGGGCAAAAGATTAGATGTAAGTAAATACACAATTTTCTTCAGATGCACAACCCACAACCACATTCAAGGTTTTTCCTCTCCACCATTGAGCTTATAGATGGCTAGCCAGTAGAAAACATTTGCAAAATTTTCGCAGAAATTCAAATGGCCAGACTCAGCAAAAAGTACTCAAATAATATTTTGAATTTGTAGTTATGAATTGGTACAGCTAAGTAATGCAGGACTGCATTCACTAAAAAAATTTTTTTTTGCTAATCTTAGGATATGGGTGTCAACTGGGGGATCTACACCAACAAAAATAACTGGAAGAGTATTGTCGGCTTGAAATTTGACCAGTGGAAACATAAGAAACTTTGGTGGGCCCATTATGGGAAAAACGATGGGACACGAGTGAGATGATTTTGATTTATTTTTACTCGGTCATCGCCAATAACAATTTTTTCAGAGGGGCGCGTTCACCCCATTCGGGGGATGGACAAATTTTTACATGCACCAATATGCGGGAGATTTGAATGGACCATGCGGAGTCAAACTTGACCTCAACTACATTGCATAATTGGAGAATAGAAGATTGAAGCTCCTTACGACATCATCACGACTTTTTACCAAATAAAGAAGTATCGCAGAATCCCCATTTGAAGCAACACACACAACACCTCCGCACAAAGTTGACTACCCAACAACAAAAGGCTTTACAGTTATCTGCGGCAGGATATAGCCAATGTTCAAATTAAAAAATTCGCTTCTAACTCTTATCTTCTAATCTATTCATTGCGTTACAGGCCTTCTAAGGCTCAGTTTTGTTCAAAAGCACCGTCCACCCGGATTCTCGACTTCCGGATCTTGACAAAGTGCGCGGCTGTTTTAGCGAGAAAATTGTTCAGAAGAGACTGAACGATTTTCTCGCTAAAACAGGAAGCGTACTCCGACCACGCCTCCAATGAATGAGCGTTCCTCTAAACCCGCCCATCCGTTCTCGCCCCTTCCGGAGGACGTGCCCCAGAAGTACTCCGGAACCGATCGTCGAATTCTCGACTTCATAACCGGAATAGACATGAAAGGATGGAATGGCAAAAACATGAAAGTCGAGGGTTTGGTTGGACGGTGCGTTTGAAGACTGCCAGTTTATCTGTTCTTAGGGATCTAGCAAGACGCTGCAAAAGTTGTAGCCCCAGTGCATCTTTATGGTTTTCAACATATTATATTGTACATACATAACATGTATTCATAGCGCAGGTTGCTCTTTATCTTCCATTAATTTCTTTCACTCGGACTATTGTACAGGGCTCCTAAATTGCAGAGTCGTTTGCACCAGCGGTCGCGCGACCGCTGGTGCAAACGACTCTGCAGTTTAGGAGCCCTGTAGTTCAAAGGCGTGTTCCTGCGTCTGCAGAGCAAAAACTATTTTTTTTCTTCCAGGGAACACAACAAAACATCAAGCAATGTAATACTAGAACGTCTGCCTAGTCAAATTTACCATAGGCGTCTGTAAAGTCAATATGAGGTTCATTCTTAACAGCGCAAAAACTATTCTATGACGAGAAAAGAAATTACTTACCTTATGGTGTGTGTTTCTCGTATTGCACATGGCCACGGTGAAGAGACATGGTGCCGCACTCTTGGACGCTCTCTGCACGTCAAAGAGGCAACCATGAGATAGAAGACGCGTCTGTTTAAGTATGGCCTACGACCGAGTCTCGGAAAGACTGAGTACCCTATTTTCAGATGTATAAGCCGCAGCCTTTTCACTCTAAGGCACGCGCCATAGTTGATCCGCTTAATCCACTTGATCCGCTTGATCCGCTTCATCATTGGTCGATGCAGTGAACTGACCAATAACGAGGCGGTTGTCCGCTTGATCCGCTTAATCCACTTCATCCACTGCACTATTGGTCAGTTCACTGTATTGGCCAATGATGAAGCGGATCAAGCGGATCAAGCGGATCAAGTGAATCAAGCGGATCAAGTATGGCGCGTGCCTAAAGGCGAACAAGCCAAAAGACTGACTCTCATCATAGAGCGCGTCAAGTGAGAGCAGTATGCGACAAGGCGACCGCTTCGTGAGACATATGCGCGGCGGCACGCCTGGGTCTGCTCGCTTTTAGAGCAAAAAGGGTGCGGCTTATACACCTGAAAATAGGGTACTTAGAGTGCGGGCGAAACCGACATAACAATCAGCTCGACGGACAGCCACTGAAAAAAATCGTAAGCCACTTCAAATACCTAAGCTCCCGGGTAACGTCGGTTTGAAACGATTAATGACGTCCGTGTTATGACGCGAAGTGCCTGAAATCTCACTAAGTAACAGGACTACTCTGTGTTTGCGAATTCCAGTAGAGCTCAAGCGTCAAACGATGGTACGACCAGTTGCCTACAGAGCGAAGTTTTGGTCAGCGACTAAAGAGCAAGAGCAGATCTTAAAAATGATGGGACAGCATGAATCGGTGGATTGGCCTAAGGCTTTTTTTGATACAGTTAATGGGGTGTGGCACAATCCCTCAAAAGCTGTGGCCGCCACAGCTTTTGAGGGGTTGTGCCAAACCCCATTAACTATATCAAAAAACATTTTTGGCGAAGTTGTTTATATGTCTGGATAGCTTAGACCTCTAGATTTCATGGGAATATTTTGAGCCTGATTCGTTTTCTTAGCTTTTAGTAATATTTGGTGAAAGCATAGCCATCAAAAGCGAAAATGGGAAAAACGAGATTTTGGTTGGCTTCTAATTCCATAGTTTGGAGGTGTTTTGAAGCGAGATTTCTGGGACGGACAGAGAAGGAGTAGTGCTTTGTCTTGAGTGCAGAAATGGGTAGCTTGTTCACCTTTGAAACATAGTTGATCACGTTGGAAAATGACCATTTCACTTTGGTGGCCTAGTATCCTGAAACTTCAGAATTCGCTCAAACTTTGTTTGCACGGGTTAATTAACATGCTAATTATAGATATGATACTCGTTAAGCTTCGTAGCACCTCTATATTATGCTAGGGTAGTCAATATCTCATGTGCTTGCATTTCGCATACCTGACAAACTGCTTGCCAATATCATGTTATCACTATTATCAGATTACCCAACTACGACCCCCTCCCCTTTTGACTCCTCAATACGACCCTCCAGCTAAGGCGTGTTACACCCCACGCTTGACCCTGGTCCTAAATCATCAACCAGGCGGTAGCGCATATGAATTTGTCGTGGTCGAGGTCAAATCTAAACTTTTGCCCACTACCGTACTCTTTCCGAGCGCGCCGTCTCCGAATAATACGGTAGTGGGCGAGCGTTTATCGCTTGTTCATCTTCACCGAATGAATCTTATGAGTGCGCTTGGGCAGTGGCTTAGTTAAGGCCTTCCAGTCAGTAACCACATAAGAAGAGGATGTTCATATCTACCTAGATCTACACACGCCTTCAACCACAAATCCCAAGTTTTGCGCCCTATACCCTTTTTTCACGCACAAATTATGTAGAAACCGCAAGATCACTATCTATCGATTCTTTAACTATACATTGTCTGCTCTACTGAATATAATCCATTATTCGCTACTAAAGCTCAAAACACTTTAGGGCTTAAGCTCAAAACAAGCACAATTCTCCTCTTTCGTTTCATAGCTGCTTTACAGATTTGTGGCAAGCATATAACCATGCGACGCTGTAATCTTCGACATCATGCTGCCGTTGTACACTCGGGCATTGAAAGGTTTGCGTTTTTCATTTTTTGCAAACTATCGAAGTCATCGATCCTTCACCTTTAGATATGCATGCCCCTGTGGTTATGCAACTGTGCATCGAAACACAATCATTCGGCATATGTTGAAGCATGCAGCGATCGATGGAGAGAAACACTATGAATTTACTGACTTACTGTGAGTTTAAATTTGCCTCATAAATGCGAGAGGAACCGTTTTTTCTAAACTGTTCGTCATTGCGGCGCACCTCTGATTGGTCAGCATGTCTTATCGGCTAGGCGTTTGTAGGGCGGAGCAAAGACGACGAAGTGATGTGTTGTGCGCGCAGGCTCACTTACTCTTTCACATTTAAGCCCGCCACGATCATAGGTTTAGAGAGATAAATTACACGCCTCCATTGCTTATGGCAACTCGCCCGCTTTGAGCGGCACCGCAGGCGGCGAAAAAAATATCGCGCGCACGGTTCCGGGGGCCTACACTTATGCGAGAGTGGATTTGCTCTGCCCTAAAAAATTTCCATTTCAGAACCCCGGCCGAAGCGGAACGAACTGAAAAACTGACTGAAGAATGTTTCCGAGCATACAAAACAATTCCGCGTCATAATGAGAAACAGAACGATGATTTGACAAGAACTCTGGAATGCCTAGTTAGTGGCGCCACTAATGCTGTGCAACCGGAATAAGTTCGAACTGAGGAGCTGGAAAATTCACCGCAATGAATTGATCATTGTTTGATTTTCCGAGGCTATTTCGCTGTGATTCTGCTGTTATCGCGCTATTCTCGCAAATTGTGGTCATATATGTGTGCTATCTGTGTACAGTAAACATGAAACCTAGTCTACTCGTTAACTAATTTAAGCCAAATTTTTGAAATCGAGGAAATGAGCATCACCCTACCGTCCACTAAAGGCCGAATCTGCAAACATAATCGCGCTAGTGGCGAAAAAGCCGTCGTTTGTAGCAAAAACGAAAGGATAGGGCTTTTTTGAGTCGCTGCCTCTCATTGGTCGGCACGTCACTACGATTTATTTATTTATTTATTTATAGAATACACATAGAGTGCACCAAAACAAAAAATTAACACAAGATATCGATGCGATTGTTCCCTTGCTGGATTGAGAATGTCGTTCTCCTTGCTCAGAAGGCGTGCGTTTCCTGTCGAGATCCTTACCTGGACGAAGGCGTTGTAGTAGTAATTATTACCGGGGCTCGGCTGACCAACTTAACCCAGATTGGACGTCCGCTAGGGACCCCGGGCGAGCAGAAAGGGAGGACCTCAAGACAAACGACTTGCCAACTTTCGTGTTCCTCGAACGGCTTTCCATGCGAAGAGAGCAGTTTGCTTTACTCAAAATAGGTGCAGGCTGTTTACATAAACGCGAAATTGAACAAAACTCAATTCAAAAAACGCAAAAGTGTGCCAAAAGTTCGTAAAATTATCCAGTTGACGTGTAGAGAAAAATTGATGAGCACAGGATGAGCTATTCAAGAGACATCATCAATTTTTAAAACTTGCAAAACGTCTATAGAGGCCAACTTCCTGCAAAATTGAGCAGAATGGCCGAGCATCGAGCTGAGCTGAGAAAGAGACGAGTAGTGCGCGCAAACATGCCGATAAGCGACAGTTTTGCTTGAATTTCTTGATACATTGCTAGGGATTTATACATACACAGAATTTTAGAGCTAAGGTACTAACAGACGGTATTTTGCATAAATCTGGTGACTAAGCGGATCACTAGTTTAAGAAGTTCAAGAGTTCTTTTAAGCAAGGAAATTTCAATGAAAAGGGGGGCCCTGGTCAGCAGTCTAAAGCGAATAATGATAAACCACAGATTCGTAAATAAAGATACAGCGAATGAAAAAACAAATCAATATGTCACATGCCGGATAGGCACAAACGAATCTATCTTATTGGAGTAAACAATAAAATAAGCGACAGTTTTTCAGGTATTTGTGAGGATCATCCAAGTATTCAAGTTAGTGCTTAACACGTTTCGGACCGCGAAATCGCGCGCGGCAAATGGCGTGCTGCACCATGTGAAGCACGAGGGACGCTGGGGACCGACTTTTTTCCATAATTTCGAGCTATGAAATAATATGAAATAAATCAGGAATAAATTGCGCCAAGTGTTGTGATTCGCACTGCTCCTGTGAGTACTTACACATTGTCATCATTTGACGTCATGATCATATGTTTTAAACTGAAAGCGGGAGGATGTTGGCTACCCGAAATTTGGGCGCCGATAGTTCAAAAACGTGGATTTCTCTCAAACTTGGTATTTGGAGGTTTCCTGACATGCTGATCACGAATGTTACACTCTTCAAGTGCCAAAACGGTTTCCTGTGTGATAAAGGTGGGTAGCAGTGGCGTACCCAGGATTCCCGCTCGAGGGGGGGGGGAGGGGCCCGACAAAAAAATTTTCGAATGAAGGGGCGTGGCGTTAGCCACGCCCCCGAAAAAATTTTTTTTACAAAGCTAATTTAAATTTTTGAAAATTTTTAAAAATTATTTTAATTATTTACAAGTAAAAACAAGTCACTTGCACATCTTTATAACCCATATAAGTAACTTTCAAAAATCTCACCCATTCTCGGGGGGGGGCGCCCCCACCCCCCTCCCCCCGAGAATAGTTACCCCCCCCCCCCTCGGTACGCCACTGGTGGGTAGGTAGTAGGTTAGTCAAAATCTCAAATTGGTAACTTCGTGTAGTGGGCTTCTTCATCAACCTAATCACGACGATGATCTCGGTTGTTCCCAAAACAGTCTTTCATGAGGTTTAAGTGACTCGTTTACTACGGTTTAGACTAGACTTGAGTTTGGATCAGATCCGGTCTACAGTGTACAATATAACATTATAAAATCGCGCTTTCACAAAAGTAACATAGCAATTGTGATAAGCATGCTAGTTTACCCATACAAACAAAAAAATTGCCGAATTGTGATCCTCACATCCGTGTAACATATCTTCGTTATATGACCGCTCAAGAAGGGTTTACGTTTTTCATAATAGGAAAAGTTCGTTTGCTTACCAGTTCTTGCATTCTCCTGTGTCTTGCAACGAGCGGAATTTCCTTGAAAATGCGATTTATCCAGCTTAAAAATGAAGCGCGCGAAGGTTTTGTCGCACGTGATGTCCGCATCGCCGCGCCGATTTGCGATCGTTTACTGTTTGTCGCTGCATTGCCTGAAGAAAGTGAGTTGATACAAGACCACGATGATATATGGGACAGTAGGCTGATGCCAATAGGATGACATCCTCAGCTATGAATAAAATATAATATAGGAAGCATGAGGCGGCTGCAAATTCGGTGATTAACCGTGTGGAGCACCGGTCCGACCGGTCCGAAACGTGCTAAGTTCCCCGGATTACTAGAATACGAGTTTTATTCCAAGAACGATTGAACTTTGCTTCTAGCAGTCATGGCAGCGCCTCATACCACTTAGCCACTCGTCTTCGTTTCCAATCTTATATATAAAGCTGAATGTTTGTTTGTCTGTCTGTATGTATGTCTGTCTGTACGTATGTTCCGAATAGAAAATTCCATTTCTTAACCGATCCGGACCAAACTTGGCGCACATACACATCGGGCCCCGGCGGGTGTCACAGTCCACTTTTCGTTATCGATCGATGTCGATTTTATCGATTTTTTGCAAAATTTGAGCTAGGGGGCTAAAATTTGGCAGGGGGGTGTAATCGAGCATGCTGATCACCCCCACGGGGGTGACCAGCATGCTCGATTACCCCCCTGTGCCAACTCCCAGCCCCGTAGCTCAAATTTTGCAAAAAATCGATAAAATCGATATCAATCGATGACGAAAAGTAGCCTATGACACCCGCCGGGGCCCGAAGTGTATGTGTGCTAAGTTTGGTCCCGATCGGTTCAGAAATGGAATTTTCTATTCGGAACATACGGCGGAGCCGGGTAAGCCAGCTAGTGTTGCATAAAACTGCACGCTCACAGCATCACGTGCTTTTTCAGGAAAAGTTGCTCAGTGCCCATAGTAAATAGTATGGGTTAGAGATTTTAACGATTACTCCAGTGATCACAAAAGTAAACATTCTATAAACACGACTGCCAATAAGAGGAACAAAACTGCTTACAAGAGAAGGATGCTTGATGACCGTGGCCATTGGTAATGATTTGTATATCAAAAAAATGCGACTTTTAATGCTGGTTCGAACACTCTTCCATATCTGCGATACGATAATCTGGATGGAGTTATGATTATTTTATCAATAAATTGCGCTACTGCGGAGGATCAGAATCTACAATAAAAAATTTTCTTTCCTTTTCGAATGCTGAATATGTTTTAAATAGGTATGATACAACAGTATTTTTCAAGATTCTCTTTAATAGCTTCAAACAGTAATCTGGAACAAATTTGGTGACTTTAACCACCTAAAAGTACGCAAATTCTTTACGATAAAAGTTCATAACTTCCTTTAGAAGATCGTTTCGCAGATATCGAGCACAGACAGAATTAGCGTTTGAGGTACATCTTACTTTTTACATCGCATTCCCAATGGCCACGATCATTACCGAGTATCCTTTCCTTCTCAGGCAGCGGATAGGACCCCTCCGCCGGAGAAATGGCAGGGTCGCGGCGTTTCCCCAGCGGTGGGTCTCCCATTTGTCCGGCGGAGCCCTCCCATTTCTCCGGCGGAGACCTCCCATTTCTGCTCCGGATACCTCCCATTTTCTGCTCCGGATACCTCCCATTTTCTCCGGCGCGGCTCTCCCAAATTTGGCGGACACGCGCCGCGCAAATTTCTCCGGCGCGGAGTCCGCCAAATCTGGCAGAGTCGCGCCGGAGAAATGGCGGACCTTTGCAGCAGGGCCGGAGAAGCCTCCCATTTGCCTGCCAGTGATGTCACCGCGATATACCGCCCATTTGCCCTTCTCTCATTGGTCAACTGGGTCCGGCGCGACTCTGGCAGTTTCGGAGGGTCCGGCGGAGGGGTCCCGTCGATTGTCTGAGTTGTTAGAACTGTCTTTGAAACGTTTATCTGCTTTTATTCCATGAGTTTTCATGAGGTTGATTCATGAGGACGATATTACGAGTGAAAAGCAATACTCTAAACATCAGGCTTCAAATTCTGGCGTCCTACGTTTCAACGGTGAAGCTCAGTGTGGAAGTCCAATCTATCACCTGTATCTGAGAGACAGAATTCAATCTTTTAGAGCATGCTATGATGAAAAGGAGTGCGCAATCGTGCAGTACAATGAGGTTTGCACTACCCTTTGAATTGACAGGACTGGCGGCGGGAAGGCGAGGCTTCGAGGCCTGATCAAGGCTAGAGAACGATCAGAGAGCACGCTCGCGAGAGAGATGCAGGCTGCGTCGCGGGGGCGAGCGGTCACCATCCAATCGCCAATCCCGTTGAATCAAAGGGTACTCATATGACAAAAGAACGGTGAGAGGCACATTTCAGACAAATGGTCACTGCAGACTGTACAGGCCATACGGACAGGGCACAGTAGACAACAAACGCATAATAAAAGGATACGTATTTTCACGTGAAGAAACTGATCCGTCATGTGTGACAGAAATAGCCACCGCCGGCATAACATTTCAGAAGATACCACATCAAAAAAATGTTATAAATGTGAAATGCAACAACACGCAAGATGTGACTGTTATTCAGCCCTATGATCGTTCTGATCGTTGTAGTTTTTTCGT